TACAGAGGAGAGCCTCTGGCCAGCGCCTCATGTGCCCAGTAGCCTCAGTTGCCCCTTCCAAACTTCACAGCCATGTGCTGTGAGGCTGAAGGGCTTCATCTCCAGCAGCAACAGTCCTGGAAAAGTTCTGGAACTCCAGGTCCTGGTCCCAGTCCTGCCACCAACCTTCAGCATTATCCTGAGCCAGACTCACCCACATGGCCTCATCTCCACGTGACCCCTCCAGCACTGATGGTGACCTGTGAAAGCCACAAATCCATAGATTTCCAAACCTGCTAGGGCGCAGGGTCCCAAGCACCCAAGGCAGATGACAAGATTGTGATGTCTCGGCTGATCTCAGAGACACTCAGTCTCCTGGCATTTAACTCCTGCATCCCACAACCCCTGAAGGAACCCCTTCCTAACTTCCTGCCTTGTGTCTGCTGGAAAGAACATCCAAAATAAACAAATAATAAACAAAGCAACAACATGCATGGAGCACCTTTGTTTGAGAAAGTCGGTGGTGGGGCCAGAGCAGGACATTCTGCTAAAGAAAACTGTCCCTGACACCTCACTCTATGCCACTCTCTCCTCACAAAACCATCCAGCCGTGAAGGGAAAGGGCCAGTAGCCAGGCGTCTGGGTCCAACACACCAGGACACAAAGCCAGCCTGCCCAGGAGTTTGAGTCACTCAGGCACTGCAAAGTGAAGATCACAGGACCTCCTCAGAGAGCAAGGAAGGTGACAGATTCCATGGTGGGCAAAGGCTTGGCACACAGAAGGGCTTGGCTTCCCTGCCCTATGCTGGGGGTGTTCAAGCCACGGTGAGCACAGAGCCGCTGAGCCGAGGCTCCCAGGAGACAGATGGCTCAGGGTCTAAGAGGCTTATCTCTCCATACAGCTCCCTACTGATCCGATTCTCCCAGCAAGGTGAGAAGCCCCACTCCTGTACCACCCACAGCTGTTCATGAGGACACCAGACCCAGCAGGTGCAAGGCTGGTGGCCAGAGGCTTCCTGATACAGGGCTTTGGGGGAGAGGGGATACCCAGGCCTGTCAGAAGTCTTTACCTGGAGATGGGCCAGACTTCTCTGTCCCTTTCACAAACTTGTCATGGGTGGGCTCATGCACTCACTCCCTCCATCATCCAGGCCCGAGTAGGCACAACCAGACCCGGTGCTAGGTCCTGAGGCTCAGACAAGGACAGACATGGCCCTGTGTATGAGAGGAGGCAACCGGGGCTCCACAAAGGTGGGAGCACTGAGATAAGGGAGAGCCAGGGCTGCAGGAGAGGAAAGAAAGGAGCTGACGTGTGCATGGAGTTAGTGCGAGAGTTCCAGCTAGAGGTGCGTGTGCGTGTGTGTGTGTGTGTGTGTGTGTGGCATGTTGGGGTGAAGTCAGGGCACAGCAAGGTCAGGCAGGACGACTGAAATGTGCCAGTGTGGGGGACATTTGCTGTAGTTGATGGAACAGGGCTTTGATGATCCATTGGGGTTCAAATGATGACTCTGCCATGCACCTGCTGTGTGACACTGTGGAGTCATGTGACCTTGCAGAACCTCAAGTGACCGACCATCACCTCTCTCAGCTCTTCTGTGGGCCAGCTGTCCAGGGTAGCCACCCTCTGGAGCCCTGCAGAGGCCGCTCCCCGGTTAACATTCACACAGTGGCTGCCCTTACTGACTGCATGGCCGTTCTCCCTGCCTCAGAAGCACCATCAAGCACTGGATGTGTCTAGTGCTCTAGTCTGGTCTCCCCATGGTGGCTGAAGCTGGCCTGTTTGTTAGCAGCCTGGTAACACATGCACAGCTCCAGAAGCAACTACCAGGCTGGCCTGTTCCATCCCTGGAAAAGGCCTTCGATACACATCTGCTGTTTAACCTCACTGCCACTACCATCATCATCAATGAAACCAGTACAAGCAAAGTACGGACTGAAAGGAGGCGGGTATTACAGATGTCAGTACTACAAAGTTCCTTCACACACCAAATGCAACTATTTTTGATCATTCACCTCCAGGCTTAAATATGCTTTGAACGGGAACACTTACATAGGAGCCCATAGTCTCTACCACTCCCTACTGGCTTTTACCCAATCATTGCACACATCTCCATTTCCTGGCTGGCTCCTATGTGCTGGCTACTCTACTCTGGCAATTTATGGATACATGGGGAAGGAGCAAGCCAAAGACATGCAGAGGCTCAGCTGTTGGTGAGGACCAGGAACCAAGACTTGGGACATTGTCTAATGCCTCTGTGTTCATTCATTCATCCCCTCACCCATTCAACTGCTCAACAATTACCCATTGAGGACCTAAAATGTTCCAGATCCCATGCTTGCACTAACACAACCAATGAAATGAAACACAGCCTCTTCCCTGGGTGGGTCACAGCCCCCTGGAGGAGACACCCTGGCAGACAGGTCACAGCATTGAGTCTCATACTGGCTCTGCTGAGACTTCAAAGAGGGGACAGTTCTGCTTGGAGGCAGAGGTATGGAGAGGAAAAAATACAGTAGAGGAAGAGACATTGTTTGACAAGTTCCCTACAGAGACAGCCATGCAGCAGGTGAGGGTGGCAAAGGAAACTACTGCAGGGTGACAATAGGCAGAGTAAGGACTAGCAATTCTGCCCACCACATGAGTGAGTTAGACAGGTTCCGGGGGCACTGGCATGTGCAGGGCCCCTCAGTTAAGCAGCTAAGCAGGGCCTAAAACACCTAGAGAAGGGATCCCATCCTCATGTCAAAGGAAACTGAGACAGACACCCTACACCTAGCTTGGGCCCATTAGGGTCAGAGGTAGGTCACATATCAGGGAAGATGGGCATCCAGGGCTCCTCCAGCACACACGCCAGGGCTGAGCTACTATTTACGAGCCCAGTGCTTTTAGAAGGGACTCACAAATGTGTGTGTGTGTGTGTGTGTGTGTGTGTACGCGGGCTACTGATAAAGGCAAAGGTGACGGACAGGCACATGAGCCTGGGTTGGTGTGTTGGCGGACTGAGCTAGACACACATGCATGCCCAGGCTGGCAGCTGACACTCAAATTCTCACTTAACAGCGGAACCAGCTGACATAAATCCACCAGGGGAAGAGCTGTCAGAACATGACTGAGAGATGACCTGATTTGGTACTGCAGGTGCCATGGCAGGGAGGTTCCAGGAGAGAGAGCACCCTCAGGGGTGACTGATGTAGCTGAAGTCACCCAGGGTCTGCGGGTAGGGACAAGTCCCATATCTCACAACAGGCGAGCACTTCCCAGCTATGGCAAATCAAGCCTCCCAGGTTATCTCCAGACCTTCCACACTGTACAGTCAAGATTAGGGCTCACAGTGAAACCAGCACAAAGAGTTGTTGTTTTCCAAGGTCCTTGACAACAGGGTCAAACCAAGGGTGACTGTTCCATTCCAGGTTACTCTGGACTTTGGACATTCCTGGTTTTAGCATCCAAAGTCCTGAAGCAGATAGCTCCAGCAGATCTGAGCCATCTACAGATGAAGGGAAAGACAGTCTCTTTAAGAAGAAGGATATCAAGTACACATATGAAATTAAGGCTACAGAAGTGATGTGTTAGCCAGGCACCAGAAGGCTGCAGTTTTAGTAGTTTCACAGTCACCTACCCCTGCCGTGGGAATAGTTCCAGCTTTGAAGCCAGCACAAACTGGGTGAGAATCCAAGCCCAGCTCCCTCACCAGCTGCGTGAGCCTGAGCAAGCGACTTACCTGTTTTCTGAGCTTGAATGCGTTCCTCCATACAGCAGGGACCATCACACGGGAGGGCTATGCAGGATGAGAGTGGATGCACACACGCCAGGGCAAGTCTGTCGACTGAGTGCAGTGCAGGACTCAGAGGAGCTGGCTCCTTCCCAGCACAGCACCCAGGCATCCACGTGCAGATGCCACAGCTCTGCCTCCAGCTCCCTAGGGGATCCACAGCAAGCCCATGGAGCGCTTGCTTTGGTTTTCCCCCCAGCATGATGCAGAAATATCTGTGCAACCTCCAGTGTGTGGTTCCTGCAGGAAGATTCAACAAGAAGGGTTTGGGTCATTACACTTGAAAAGTGCTGAACACGCTGGGACCCCCGATTCATCGTCTCCCTCCCTCTCTGAGCCCCTGACTCTTGCTAGCAGTTGATCAAGAAAGGCTGGCTCAGGGGCTGGGAGACCTTGTGCTCCTTTGAATGCCTGAGGAGTGCTGAGCTCCCAGCTGGGGAGGGCACTGGGGTGGGGCACACAAAGAGGGCTCCTCTGTCGGGGAACATACCCTCCGAAGGGCATCCTGGGAAATGCCCTAGATTGGGCACTTCCTATTCCCGGCCATGAAAAGGTCGTTTGCTTTGCCTAAAGGTCCTTCAGGAACGGGGCACTCCCTCCCTGCTGGGCAGTCCAGACCTGTGTCCGCCAGCTCCATCAGCATATCTGTCCCAACATGAGGCTTAAAAATCTGCCTTCAAAGGGTTCGCCCTTCCTTGGGCAACTCGAAGGGTGGGTGTGCTGCTCCTCCAGGGGGGATGGGGGAAGGGGACTGCTGCCTGGAGAACCTCCAGGAGTCGTGCAGGCTCTCCCTGCTGCCCAGCACATAGGGTGTCAGACCCTTCCGGAGCGCTGGGCGGGAATGGGCTGAGATCTCAGAGAACACGTGCAGATAACCGCTCCCCACCTGCCCTCCTCGCCCGTTCCCCGGGCTGTTTGTCTTTTTGTCTCATCTCAAAAGTACCTCGCGGAAAATAGGCGCCCGGATTTGCTAAAGAGCAGCGCACTTCCCCGGAGGCCACAGCGCTTCCGCCCCTTTTCTTCCCGTAGTCTTCAAGACTGTTTGCTCCAGCTCAGAAGGAGGTAGCCAAAGCTCCCTCTAAAAACCCCAGGAGGAAGTTATTCCAAAAGGAAAACTTCGGGGCAGCGGAACCCACTCAAGGACTTCGAGACCCCAGAAAGCCTCAGTTTTTCAGCGCCCTGCTCCGCGCCCCATCCTTATTCTGGGGCCTAGGGAGCCCTTGGTTGGCTCCGGAGCTCCAGACTAGGGCAAAGGGGGTGTGGCAGGAGCAGTCTCGCCACGCCCCCTGCCCCCGCCTGCATCCAAGAGCGGGTCCCTGCGCCCACTCACTGGTCTCTTTAGGCTGCGGGCCGGAGCGCTCAGGTTGCGCAGATTCGAGCGGCGGCGGCGGCTTAGCGCCCTCGCACCGCCCTGCGCCCCTCCCGCCGGCGCCGCCGCCGCCCAGCTGTCGGAGGTGCTCTGCTCGCGCGCCCAGGGCATGCTCCGCGCTCCTGCGCCCGGCCTCGGCGGCGGCAAGGGACGCCATCCGCCCGCGGAGACATGAGGCTCAGCCCGTGGGCTGCCCTGGCCTTGGGGCTGCTGTTCCTCAGCCTCGGTGAGTGGTCCCGGCGCTGGAAGGCGAAGGGGTGGTTGCCGGGGGCGGGGGATCCTACCAGCTGCCCGGCCCGGGTGCTTCTCCAGAGACCGGTACCCTGGGACCCCGCGGTCGGAGCCTAACTCCCGCTACCCTCCGCATCTTCGGACGCCGAGCAGGAGGCGTGGCGGCGGCTGTGAGGGCTGCACGCGCCGGCTCGCGACCTGACCTTGCAGGTGCACTGCCCCTGTCGGAGCATCTGCTCGCCGTCCGCGCGCCGTCCCGGGCGGGAATGCGCGCTTCATGCGGTCTAAACTCTGTGTCCTTGACAAGCGCGAGCCCAGTCCGAGCCCACGGGGAAGCAGGGGACCCTCCGGGAGGCGTACCTGGGCGCGCTCGGGTTGGAGGGGCATAGTGCCCTCCTGCCGACCTCACCCGTGACCCTGCGAGTGCGAAGTCCTCCCCGGGTGTCTGGTGTCCATCTGTCCTGTTTCTGTTCTCCCCCTAGCCCAGGCCAACTTCGCGCCCCACTTCTTCGACAACGGGGTCGGCAGCACCAATGGAAACATGGCCCTGTTCAGCCTCCCAGAGGACACCCCTGTAGGTGAGGAGCCCTGGTATGGACATCCCATAGAGGAGAGAGGTTCGCGTTCCTTAGGACGCGGGGACCAAACCCATGACTCCTCTGAGCCCGTGCGAACGCCAAGCGCCAGGCTGCGTGGGCTCCCGCCCTGTTTCTGCTCAGAATTACCCCCACCCCGGAGTCGGGGTTGTGGGAGGCACAGACAGGAAAGGATGTCACAGCTACCATGGCGACCTAAGCGGGGCCAGGCCTGGGGACCAGGACCACACCAGCCCAAAGGCTAGGTCTGTCCTGCGACAGGCAGCTGTCCAGCAGAACAGTAAGGCGCTGCCGCATGCCTGCTGTGTGCCTTGAGCAAATGGATTTGCCTCTCTGAGCCCTGGGTCTCAGGACTTTAAAACGACCCATGGACATCCAGCTGGCTGAGATGGGCAGGGAGAGAAGGAAGAGAGGCTGGAGTTGCCCTCTCTGTCCCTCTCCATGCGGGGGTTGGGACCTGGAGGCGGGGTGAGTGAGCAGGGACTCCTGGGTCCAGAATCCCAGGCGTTGGGGTGCCGTCTTGCACCATGGGTCTTGCACCTGCGCCCAGGGAGCCTCTCCTGCCCACCTCCTCCTCTCCCCCCAGAGCTGGCTCCTGAAAGAGGATCACACCAGGCAGAGGGAAACACAGGCAGAGAACTCTGAAACACCCCTATAATCTGCACAGATTACAGCCTGGGAAGTGGCTGATAGCAACCGCTGACAGCTGTGAAGAACTGAGATAAAAAGTGGGGAGCAGTGGGGCGGGGGGCAGCAGCCAGCGCCCAGTTCAGGGTCCCAGCTTTGACACACAATGGAATCTCCACCCTCCCAACTGTTGACTTCTTGGGCTGAAGCAGCAGAGAGAAACCAGGTCTCAGGTCCCAGGTCTCCCCCGTGTCTCCTTCCAGGCTCTCACGTGTACACCCTGAATGGGACAGACCCTGAGGGAGACCCGGTGTCCTACCACATCAGCTTTGACCCCAGCGCCAGGAGCGTCTTTTCTGTAGACCCCGCTTTTGGAAACATCACTCTGGTGGAAGAACTGGACAGAGAGGTATGGGAAATGCTGGGAACCCTGTACAGGCATGCAGACCGACCTCTAAGGTCTAGAAGGTCTCTCTGAGTGAGATGCTCACTGCCCAGGAGGGGACACCCACAGGGGCTGCCCCGGCACCTCTGCCTGGAGGATCTTGGGCTGCTACCCCCAGTCTTTACACTGGCAGGCTGAGTCGTGGGGCTCCTTAGTGAGCACCCGCCAGCCCTGTTAATCTTTTAAGCACGATCAATTAAAAATAAATCTGTGTGTGCTGTGAGGTATCTGAGAGAAGCCTTCCAAAAGGGGTTTTCATGCCAGTCCTTAGACAGGTCCTGGCAGCCCCAGGAAACTCAGAGAGCAGATCAGGGCCAGAGAGAGTGATTGAAGGTGTGGATCTGAGTTTGTTCAAAGTCCTCTCACCTGCACCTTTCTGAACTTGTGGGTGACAGGGCACCGGGCTCTGCTTCCCTCTGGAGACCTCATGCTGGCCATATAACTGGACCTCAGCTGTAGGCTCCCAGCACCTCCTCCCTAGTACCCACGGGGTTCTAATGACCTTCGACACTATGTCCTGGGGAACACTTGAACCTGAGCCACCCTAGATGTGGACCACTGCAGAACCCTGGAATATGGAGGGGTCTAGGAGAACCATTGATACACAAAGCCCCAAAATAAGGTCTCAGGCACAATGGGAGGCGGCATCTGGCTGTGCCAGATATGCTAAGGCTACCCCCCACGCCCTATTCATGCACCCAGGAGGGCTCCCCCAGCCTCGGGGTTCCCTGCGGTGTTCTCAGACACTCACTTAGTCCCTGTGCTCCACAGAGGGAGGATGAGATTGAAGCCATCATCAGCATTTCGGACGGACTGAATCTGGTGAGTGCACACCCAAGCCAGCCCCTGGCAGCCTGCAGAAGGAGGAGGCTGGCAGGGCTCCTCCCCAGCCCTCCCAGGGCCCAGCAAAACCCACCCAGAGCGCCCACAGGACAGAGCTGCAGCAAGACCAGAGGTGGGGGGAGAAAGGGGGAGGGGAACGGAGGCCAAGGTCTCTCTGAGGAACTTCCAGCGTGTCAAACTCACATTCTGCAGCTTCTCCTCAGACCTGCCCTCTCCCTCTGCCTCCTCCCTCCTGGGTCTTGGCCCCTTGCCCAGGTTACCCAAGCTGAACACCTGGGCACACAGGTGTGCTGCCTGTCCTCCTTCTGCACAGTCAGCATTTCCTCCAGCCCCCACCAGTGCATTCTGGGATTACTGCAGCCCACCCCAGAGGCTCCCCAGCCACCCCAGTCCACCCACAGAGTGCCGCCGTGGCTGTCACTGTGATGCATAGGTCTGGCCCCCATCCCGGGCTCAGAAAGCACCCAGAGCTGGCCCTGCCACCCTTGGGATGACATCCAAGCTGCCATCTGCCATCCACAGACCCCTCCTCCCCCCACCACCCCGCAATCAGCATCTGCTTCCTCCAGCTCTCTCCCTCATCCACCCCACCACCCACCCAGCCAGCCATGAATCTCCTGTCTTCTGAATTCACCAGCCATCTCACTCCTCTTTGAACACATGGTCCCTCCTACCTGGCCCACCACTTCTTTCCTTCAAGGCGAACTTGCTGTGGGGCTTGGCGTTTCCTCCTCTGGGCAGCCTCCCTGCTGTCCACCACCACAGGCCAGGCCGGGGTCCGGGGTAGGGACCGTTCTCAGGGCCTCTGGATGCAGCACACCTGCGCCCAAGGGATGCCCGAGGGACCCCTGGCTGGGGGGCAGGGAGGTGCAATGCAGGGCCTGGCCCACCTGTTGTCTCCTGAGTGATATCACCGGGTTCTTTTATGTGCTACCCCTTGCCAGAACACTGCAGAATAGCACACTTGCAGACTGCCTTCCATCACTGGCATGCAACACAGTGCTTTGTTCCATGTAGCTTCTTAATAATATTTGTTGCATGAACACATAGAAGAGAGAAGAGTGGAGATGAGAGAGAGACAGAGACAGAGAATGGCAGGGCTGCTAGAAGCCACTATCTGTTTGTCTCCCAGAAGGTCTCACTGCCTCAGCTCCTGAGCCATCTCTTCTTTCCAGGTGGCAGAAAAAGTCACGGTCCTGGTGACGGATGCCAACGACGAGGCACCCCAGTTCATCCAGGAGCCTTACGTTGTCTTGGTCCCCGAGGTGAGTGAGAGGCTGCTGGGCAGGGCAAGACTCCCACCTGGGCCATGGCCTGCTCTCTGGGGCTGCCAGGGACCTGGCCCCAGCACTGGCATGCAGAGCACCTGTCTACCATGCCCCACTCTCCATGCCCTTCCCTCCCCAACCTCTGTCACCATCCCCCCACATTCATTTTCATTTCGGTCCATTTATTATCTTCCACTATAATCATAGTCTATGTGTTCTGTAGAAATGTGAAATAGATAGAAAAGTAGAGTTTTTAAAGTTACCTTCAGTCCCTCCGACTTAAAACCTTGCTCAGTGTTGCAGTAGTTCCTTCTAGGCTTTTTGTGATTATAGGGTTGTTGCTTATTTAGCATAGCTGTGGCTATACTAAATACATGTGTCCCATATCCTGTTTTTCACTCAGTGTATAACATAAGGATTTTCCTCATTTTGTTGTGGAGTTCGAATAACCACTGATTTACCAGTTTCTATTGAGGGAACATTCCATCACTTACTGAGCCGTCCCATTTTGTTTGCTGTTTGTGAGAAACACCAAGCTTTGAGTACAAGGGTATTTTTTCTTTAATTAAGGTTATTTCCCTAAGGGGCAATGCAGGGTGTGAAATTAGCAAGTCAGAAGCATGAATGCCTGTGTTACCAAACGGCTCATCTCTTCACTCCCTGCCCTGCAACACTGGGGAGACGATGTCTCCCCTCTCTCTCGTGCCCACACCGCAGATTCTGAGTCTCAGATGCTCACTAACTCAGCAGGAGAAATAGCTTATGCTTGTTCTGAGTTGTGTGCACCTGTGTGTGACCGCTGGTGACCCTGATACATCCATGTGGATGAACCATGCCCTTGTCTGTGCATGGCTGTTTCCTGTTTAAACTCTTCACCCATTTGGGGTCTTGGTTTTCTCCTTCTATTGCCTCCTTAAGGGAACCCTGAGCCACCTCTTTGTGGCACCTCCTGCACCATGTCCTGCGTCTCCTCCATTGCTGCCCTTCCCCCATGATGGCTGCTCACACACATGTTAGCCCTCCATTCCCTCCACCGCATCGCTCCATGGTCCCCATGCCTATGGCTCCCTAAGCATCTTGTCACTACCCCGTCACCCCTCAGGACACACCTGCTGGGAGCAGCATCTTTAAGGTCCGTGCAGTGGACAAGGACACAGGCTCTGGAGGGAGTGTCACCTACTTCCTGCAGGTAAGACAGCACACAAAGGATGTCACCAGGGACCTGGGCTGAAAGGGACACTGGATGGTCCCCACCTTCATCACCAAGGCCCTTGGGTCAGTGCCTCTGATGGTCCCAAAGAATCCACACAGGGGTGCAAGCAGTAGGCAGGGATCCGAGGGGTGCAGAAGCCTTCTTCCCCTGATTGCCCCACCCTGAGTGTCCCCAGGCTGCACTTCCCCAGCCCCTTTCCCAGGTCCCCAGCAGTACAGTGCTCCTCTTCCAGTACAGCTCTCTGCTGGCCCAAGAGCACAGTGGAGGATGGCCCAAGTGCTTGGGTCCTGCACTGCATGAGAGACCAGGAAGAAGCTCCTGGCTCCTGGCTTTGGGTCGGCATAACTCCGGCCGTAGCGGCCATTTGGGGGAAAGGAAGACCTTTCTCTCTGTCTCTCTCCTTCACTGTCTAACTCTATCTGTCAAATAAATATTAATAATAATAAAAGAAACGCCTGCAGAGTGCTCTTCTCTACAGGGAATGGGGCTTAAAAGCCATCCTGAAAGGGACCAACATTGTGGTCAGCTGGTTAAGGTGAAGCTGCCCCTTGCTACGCCACCAGCATCCCATATCAGAGCACTGGTTCGAGTCCCAGCTGCTCTGCTTCCGATCCAGGTCCCTGCTAATGCATCTGGAAAGGAAGCAGCAGATGGCCCAAGTGCTTGGGCCCCTGCCACCCATGTGGGAGACCTTGATAGAGTTGCCGGTTCCTGGCTTTGGTCTGATCCAGTATAGGCCATGTGGTCATGTGGCAAGTGAGACAGCAGATGGAAGTTATCTCTCTCTGTCTCTACCTTTCTCTCTGCCACTCTGTTCAAATAAATAAATGGAAAAAAATAAAAGCCTTTCAAAGGGAGACAAGCTGAGGGACCTCCAACCCACCCCAAGTAAGTGGCTGTGGGCCAGTGCTAGGCAGCATCTGATGAGGGAGGGGTGGGAGATGGCCACTCTTTGGAGGAGGCTGGTGGGGAGCTCCTGCATTTTGTAGGGGTGCTCAGGGGGGACCTCAAACTGGGAGGCATCAGGCTCCAGGTGCCAGGTGCTGTTGTTGAGTGCCCTACATATTTGAGCCTCACAATAGCCCACATGCTTTTCTCCTTCCTGTCTTACATCTGGGGAAACTGAGCGGGATAAGGCAGGTAACGCATTGAAGGTGGCACAAGAGCTAAACCAGGGATCACCCCAAGACCTGCGGAGTCCCAGCAATCTCCCTGGAGCCTGGAGTGGGAATGGCCACCTGGAGTTTTAGTCTCCCTGGAGTTTTAGTCACCAAGCTGTACCGTTTTGAAGAGTGTGGGTGTAGGTGAGTGGAGGTGGGAAGAACAGAAAATGCTGTGGAAGCAGCAGACTGAGAGGGGCAGCAGGTGCAGGGCTGGGGCCTCCACGCGGTCAGGCGCAGGGTGGGAGGCAGCGGATCACGGCTTTGCTTTGTCTGAGAGCTGTTGCTCTGGTTGTTTGCTAGCGGCCATCGCAGGCCCGGACAGGTTTCTTCAACCCCATGTGGATGTGAAGTGCTGGGGGCCTGGGGAAGGGGCTGGGGAAGTGCAGCCTGGGAACACTCAGGGTGGGGCAATCTGTACTGGAAGAGGACTAGAACCCAGTGTCCATGTGGGATGCCGGTGCCACAGGCAGAGGATTAACCAAGTGAGCCACGGTGCTGGCCCCTCTGCAGGCGTTTCTAACCACTACCACCTGTAGCCAGAGCTTAGCCCAATTTGTTTTCCAGCAGAGCAGACAGAGAGAAGCCACGGGCCTTGAGGGTGTGGGAGAGCAAACCCCCAGCCCTCCAAAGGGTGACCTGGGGCCAGAAGGGCTGGCTACCCTGAGGTCTGACTTCAGCCTCAGGGGCAGTGAGCAGGTGGTCATTCCCAGGCTGGCCCAGGGCTCCTGCCTGAAGCCCAGCTGTGCCCCACCCTTACAGAATCTGCATCCCAGCAAATTTGCTGTGGACCGCCACAGCGGTGTGCTGCGCCTGCAGGCTGGGGCCACCCTGGACTACGAGAAGTCCCGGACCCATTTCATCACCGTGGTCGCCAAGGTAACAGAAAGGGAGGAAGGGAGGAGTGTGGGAGGCTGCCCTGGGGTGGGAGCAGAGCTGGAAGCTGTGAAGGGGTGGGGCAGGTAGGAGAGCAGGGGGTGCGGTGGGCAGAGGGGGAGGGGCAGCTGCATGGACATTTTCTCTGGGGAACTGTGTTGGGGGCCTGGAGAGGACACGGTCTCCTCTGACCCAAGACTAATGGGTCAGCGTACTCTATCTGGCCACCACAAGGGGACTTGTGTGTCCCACACATTCCTTTTAGTGTGGCCAAATGGGCACCGTCTCTCTGGTCAAACCTGTTTACCCCACCTTCTCCTCATTGGGGGACCCTCTCTGAGCCTCTGTTTCCTCATTCACTCAACCCTGAAACTTAACCAGGTTCCCCAAGTTTTGCAAGTGATTGGTGCTGGAAGCCTGCAGGGGCTCAGCCAAGGCTTCCTCCCCCAGAGAGCAGGCAACGCCAGCCACCGTTGCTCCAGGCCCAGCATTTCCTGCACAGGAAGGCCCTTGTAAGACACTTAGTGGCTTCAAGCCATCCCACGCCAGCCTGTGCTAGGAGGCCTGAGACAGCCCCAGCTGCCAGCTGCCTGGCACCATTGTAGGTGTTTACACAGGGTGCTAAGTCATTCTCTTGGCTCCACAGCACCCAGCACAGGCTGAGCACATAGTAGGACAGCAGGTGTTTGAGCCTGGTTTCCTGGTGGGAGGGGGACTTTGGCCCTGACAGGTGCGGGGAGCCTGACTGACCGCAGAGCCCTGCCTGTCTTCACGCTGCTTCTGTGGCCCCCGGTTCTTCTCCAGGATGGTGGGGGCAGGCTCCGTGGGGCTGACGTGGTGTTCTCAGCCACGGCCACGGTCACGGTCAACGTGGAGGATGTTCAGGACACGGCCCCTGTCTTCGTGGGCACACCCTACTATGGCTACGTGTATGAGGACACCCTCCCGGTGGGTGGCTGCACCCCTCTGCCAGCGTCCCCTCCAGATGCCTCTGGCCCTGTCCTGAGTGGTTGCCCAGGGTGCCTTGCAGGGTATGCATAGCTGGTCCCAGCTAGGTCATGCTCTGCACACACTGGCTGGCTCCTGAGTTTCCTAGGGCTCTGGCCATGAACAGCTCCTTTTGCCTTGAGAAGTGCAAGGCAGAGCAAGCCCAGGCTCATGTGGGGGCAGGGGACATCTTCTGGGTGCCCACCAGTCTGGCATTTCTGCATTCACACATCTGCCAGTCCAGCTGTAGCCCCTTCAAAGGGCTGAGAGAAGACAGAGGTGTCTCTCTGTCACCTCATTTGGAGGGGGAACATCCTTGGTGCATTCCCAGGCCCCAGACCTTCAGCCTGGGGTCCCTCAGACCAGCAGTTCCCTCACTATTTGCTGCCTGAAGCACCGTGACCCTCAGACATCCCACAGGTGCAGCTGGAGGGTTGGCCTCAGCTTCACTCCTCATTCAACCAAACCTCCATCCCCGGTGTTCCAGCTCCTGAGGTTGCCTTCTGGCTGCCCAGCAGGTCCCCAGAGGTTCCACGCCTGGCCTCTGAGGCCCAGCCTCCCCTCCGAGGGCCCTCTGCCTCCTCACAAACCCGACAAGGTCTCACCACACAGCCCTTAGTCCTCTGCCTGAGTTGTGCCCACCGTCCCAATGCCCCCATGCTTCTCAGCTGACTTGGGCGCCCATCCCCTGTTCTGAAGTGGGGGAGCTCCTTCGGCTCCCTTGGCACGAGCTTGGCCCTCCCTGGGGTTCCCCCATGTTTTTCTGGGCACCAGCTGCCCCCACCCAAACCAAGAGCTCCATGCAAGCAGAGACCAGGCTGAAGCCAGACCTCACTCTGCCGTGGCTCGGGAGCGCTGTGACTGAATCACATTCTCAACTTCCCTGACGGTGAAACAAGTACTTCAGAGGGAGGGAGGTGGAAACACCGGACTGCCTGGGTTGGGGCTGTCAGGCCGGGCCGGGGAGGCTCCAACCACCCCATGGAGGGGCTGAGGGTAGAGAACAAAGCAGAGGGCTTGGTCTCAGCAAGGGCCTGGCAGTGAGCATGGAAGAGGGCATCAGTGTCAGCTGGATTGTCCCGTTGTGGCCCCTCCCTACCAGACTCTTTCCAATGGCACCCAGTGCCCGGGGATAAAATCCTAATCCCAGAACTCCGTTTAAAGCCTGGTGACCCAGCCCCTGTCCCACCTGTCTCTCGCCTCTCCCCCATGCACCTTGCAGTGGGGTGAAGGTAACAGATGGAGGGGACAGCAGGGGAGCAGTGGGCTGAGGAGACAGTCAGCAGACCTGGGCATCCGTGGGCAGCACACACTTGGCCCCGTTGGACCAGCAGAGGCTCAGGCTGTCCCCCTCCCCGCAGGCCTGGAGAGAGCTCCCAGCAGAGCAGAGCAGGGATGTCCTCCAGGGCCATGCAGAGGCCTGGCTCTTTTCCTGGTGGGGGGAGGGGGCACCTCCCTTCTGTGAAGGGGAGGGAGAGCCCCAGAGTTGCCCTGGAGCCTTAGGCAGCTGCTTCTGCTCCCCCCAGGGCTCCGAGGTGCTGACAGTGGTGGCCATGGACGGCGATCGGGGCAATCCCAACCGTGTCCTCTATAGCCTCGTGAACGGTGAGTCGGGCAGCTGCTCTGACCCTGGGGGTGACCACAGCAAGGTTCATCAACCGTTTGGGTCCCAGGTCCCTCCCCCCATGGGACCAGCAGAATGGAGAGGAGGGGCTGACCCTCCCACCCCGGGGAGCTGGTCTCCTAGGGCGTGTGCTCAGGCTCAGATCTGTGCTTCCTGTGTGACCTTAGACAGCTTACTGAGCCCCTCTGAGACTCAGTTTCCTCATTGGCAATGCAATAGATGACCGTGTCACAATTTTGGGAACACTTCTACAAGGCAGTGCACTAGGCACCTGCACCCCCTGTGGCCCTTTACAGAACTGCAGAGCATGTATCTATTACAGGAAGCGAGGGAGCCTTTGAAATTAATGAGACATCCGGAGCCATCTTCCTCACACAGAGCCCTGCCCAGCTGCAGAGAGAAATGTATGAGCTGCACGTGCAGGTAACGCCCCTCTAGACTGGCCTGCTCCACCCCCTCCTCTAGCCCTAGAAGGCTACTGAGGTGATGAGACCCAGGGCCTCCTCCATCGGGCGGGGGGGGGGGTTCATTCTGGGAAGTGAGCTAGACGTTGCTTCCTGGAGCTCCTGCAGCACCAGGCTGCAGCAGATGTACACACAACCCGTGGCGAGAGGAGCCATAAAGTCACAGGCAGAGTCGCGAAAAGGCAGGAGGAGGTAGGACTGAAGCAGCAACACCTCTGCTAAGAGCAGGCTCCAACAGGCAGAGGGTGTCAGAGGGGAGCGTTGAATTGGGGTTGGGCAGCAGCAGAGTGAAGGCATCCAAGCCAGGAAAACGCTGGGTGCAGCCTGGAGGTGGGAGTACACAGTGCGCCCAGGAAACAGGGGAGACTGGAGCCAAGAGCCTGCTGGAGGAGGACCATTGAAACACGAGGCTGGGCTGGAGGAGCAAAGGCCCTGAAATGCAAGCTGTGTGTTCTCTCTAGAGCAAGGCATGTGACTTGCATGGTCACCTAAGAGCTGCATGGAACAGGACCCCATGCTAAGCTGAATACTTTGCTGTTTGCTTTCTTGAAATTCTTAATAGTTTTTCATGTTTCATTGCCCCTGCAGATTGTGGAGCTGCCCCTGCCCCAGAGCAAAGCAGTTTCATTGACAGGTTGTGAGCAGGCTTAGAAGTACCTGTGGGAAAGCTCTCTCTGGCTGCTCCCTAGATCACTAAAGTTCTTGGATGCGGACAGCATGGCCAACAAAGCCTTCCAGGACTCACTCCTGGGAATGGGAATTCCCTGTGTCCAGGGTCAACCCAGGACTCAGCACGTTATCCTGGCAGTAGGCTCTGCCTGGCATCTGAGAACTCTGATGTCATGTCATATTTAGGGGGAGGCAGGGAGATAGAGCCATGGCCAAGGTGGCAGAGAAAAAAGGCCTGTGGGGCTGCAAGGAAGTGGGATGGCAGAAAGGGGCAAGTTGCAAAACATAGAAGAAGGCAGATGGCACATAGCATAGCCACTGATGGTCTGTGAGGGGTGAGAGAGGGATGGAGGAGGGATGGGTAAAGGCCCAGGGACTTCGTCATCGCGAGCAGGGCAGAGGAAGCAAGCTAAATAGGAGGGGAGTGATGGACCTGGGTGCTGGGGTCATTCAAGGTGAAACATCCACACTTGGGCAACCAGGATTGACCTTTACAGGAGAAGACATCAGTAAACAGGTGTCTATGATGGATGTGGGAAGGAATGAGGTCACCCAGGGGATGGCTAGGGGACAGAGCAGCCGGTGGCCAAGTCCACAGCTGCAGGAGCTGTGGGGAGGAGAATGGCAGGTGAGGAGAGTCGGGAGGGATCAGAGAGGCTGCTCAGAGAAGCTGCAAGAGAACAGAGCCCTTGGGCAGGGGAAAGGGTGGTGGTGTGGCTGCAGCATGCAGAGCAGTGGGAAGTGCCCAGGTGGGGACGGTGAGAAGTGAGTGCAAAGTTGGAAGTGGAGACGGCAGGCGTCAGCCTCTGAGAAAGAGAAAATAAGACAGTAGGCGGGGCATAGAGGAGTTGGGTGCAGAGAGGGTCATTGTGGGAGAGCGACCTTCCAGAACTAGGGTGTCTTTGAAGAACTAGGGACAGGAGATCCCTGAAGGGGCTCCTGTGACATTTACTACATGGTTCATGAGGTGCCCATGGACCCTCAGCCCTAGCTTTGCAGCCTGTGTTAGTGACGACCTACCCCCAAACAGAGTGGCTTACGGCAGCACTCATGCATTATTATCTCACGGGCTGTGTGGGTCAGGAGCCCAGACTTAGCTTGACTGGGTCTTCAGTTTCAAGGTCTCATGTCTGACTGCAATTGGGTTGTTAGCCAAGACTAGGGTCTCCAGGAGACTCAGCTGGGGACGGGTCGGTCATCGGTGCAGCTCGGTTCTTTTGGGAGATCTTAGACCAAGAGAGCCTCAGTTCTGTGCTGGCTGTTGGCTAGGGGTCACATGGGCCTCTCCAACACAGCTGCCTGCCTCACCACGGTCAACAAGGGAGAAAGTCTTCTAGTGAGGCAGAAGTTACAAACGCTTGTCATCTGATCATAAAGGGAAAGCTCATCTTTGCCATATGCTATCAGTTAGAAGCAAGCTGCTAGACCAAGGATCACTTAAGGAATTGGGATTGTACAAAGGTGTGAATACCAGGACAATGGATCACTGGGACTGATGAAAGCCCACCTGCCACACAGCCATAGCCCCCTGTCTCCACCCCAGGTCACTGAGATCAGCTCTGCAGGGAGCCCAGCTGCCCAGGCCATGGTCCCCGTCACCATCAGGATCGTGGACCTCAACAACCACCCACCGACATTCTATGGAGAGAGCGGGCCCCAGAACAGGTTTGAGCTGTCCATGTATGAGCACCCGCCCCAGGGGGAGATCCTGCGGGGCCTCAAGATCACCGTCAACGACTCCGACCAGGTGCCTGGCCCTGCCCTCTGAATAGTTGGGTCTGCAGGAACCCTCACTGGAAGCCAGGCAGGTCTCAGAAGGAATGAGCCAAGAGCATACATCCGAGAAGGAGAGGAGAAAGGATAGCTGCCTAAATGCCTTAACCAATTAACAAGTAAATCAATTAAAATAAATTTAAAAATCAACTAAATAAATTTAAATAAATTAAAATTAATAAATCAATTAACGAGTAAAAGCCAGGATGAACCTTTGGCTTAGCAGTTGAGACACTGGTTAAGATGCCCACACCCTAGTTCAGAGTGCCTGGGTTCAGTCCCCACCTTCAGCTCCTGACTCCAGCTTCCTGCTAATGCAGACCCTAGAACCAGTTACTTAATTACCCCAGTAGTTGGGTACTTTTTTTTTTTAAGATTTTACTTATTTATTTAAAAGGCAGAGTTACAGAGAGAGAGAGAGAGAGAGAGAGAGAGGTCTTTCATCTGCTGGTTCACTCTCCAAATGCCCACAAAGGCCGGAGCAGAGCCTATCTGAAGCCAGGAGCTGGGAGCTTCTTCCAGTCTCCCACACGGGAGCAGGGGCCCAAGCACTTGGGCCATCTTCCATTGCTTTCTAGTGGAGCAGCCAGGACTTGAACTGGTGCCCAATGGGATGCTGGCACCACAGGCGGAGCCTCCCTCCCTTCCTCTCTTTCTCTCTCTCCCCTGTCTGTGTCCTCCTGCCTTTCAAATAAATACACTTTGTAAACATAAAGAAGTAAAAGCCACCAGACAGGCATTTGTGAGTCCTGCCACCTCCTATGTCTAGCGCAGGATTAGACATCATGTGTTTGTGACCTTGCTTAATCCCCATAGCCTGCTAAGTCTTCCTGATCCTGAGCAGCTCATGTGTGGGGAGAAGTGAGACTGCTCACCTCCCAGGGCCTGGAGCATATGGAGGCTCCTCGCTTAGCACAAATCCTGTAATTCCTTCTTTTTGTGAAAAAAAATTATTTACTTGAAGCATAGAGTTACAGAGGGAGAGGGAGAGGCAGAAAGAGATGTTCCACCTGCTGGTTTACTCCCCAGATGGCTGCAGGAGCTGGGTCTGGGCCAGGATGAAGCCAGGAGTCTGGAACTCCATCCAGGTCTCCTACATGAGTGCAGGGGCTCAAGTACTTGGGCCATCATCCCCTTTCCCAGGTGCATTAGCAGGGAGCTGGATGGAAAATGACTGGGACTCCAACCAGCTCTCATATGGGATGCTGGCCTGCAGGCGGCGGCTTAACTCACTGTGCCACAATGCCATAGCTCCTTTCCTTATCTACATTTTCACTTTCTGCATTTTCAGTCATGTGAGTCCCAAAATATATAGTCCCAAAACTATAGCCCCAAAATATTAAATGGAAAATTCTAGAAGTAAGCAATTTCTGAATTTTAAATACCTTTTATAATAGCATACTGTAATTTTTATATTTTATCATTAGTTTTTGTTCCTAAGGTAGACATTAAACTTTAGCACAGCAATGCATGTATAGGAAAAAACACAGGCTATGTCTACAGCCATACAACCTTGAAGGTGCCTGATCTCTCATCTGATCTCGGAAGCTAAGCAGGGTCAGGCCTGATTAGTCCTTGGATGGGAGACCCAGGTATTCTCTGAGGAGTTAGGCATCCATGGAGGTCTTGGAACATAGTCCCTATGAGAATAGGGAGGCTATGGTTTATAAATTTCTATTCTCATGTCTCTGTGTTGTTTCTGTTCTTCAAACTCTGCTGCCCAGGGAGCCAATGCCAAGTTCAACTTGCGGCTGGTGGGCCCAGGAGGCATCTTCCGAGTGGTGCCACAGACGGTCCTGAATGAAGCCCAGGTGACCATCATCGTGGAGAACTCAGCTGCCATTGACTTTGAGAAGTACAAAGTATTAGCCTTCAAGGTGGGTGCTGCCCTGCCCTGCCCTGCCCTGCCCTGAATGGGGTCCCAGGAGCTCACACCAGCATTCATTCCTGAGGGCACCGTGTCACACCCTGGCCTTCCTGCTAATGTGAGGAGCAAGTGATGGACCAGAAGGGAAGAAGAGCCGTCCACGGACAGAGCTTCTGTGAACCACTCATATATTTTAAAAGTTAGTTATTTGAAAGGCAAAAAGGCAGAGAGATGGAGACGAGTGAATCATCTGCTGGTTCACTCCTGAAGCACCCATGGTTGCCAGGGCTGGGCCAAGCAGAAGCCAGGAGTCTATAACTCAATCCTGATCCCCCCATGAGGGTGGCAGGGACCCAGGTACTTGAGCCATCATCTGCTGCCTTCCAGGGTGTACATGAGCAGGAAGCTGGAATCAGGAGCAGAGCCGGGGCTTGAACCCAGGCACTCTAACGTGGGATGCTTACATCCCCAGAGGGGTCTTAACCACTGTTCTAAATACTTGCCTCTGAGCCCCAGCTTCTAAACTACAGCTAGACCCAGGAATGCAAAGTTCAGGGAAGGGGATGGAATGTTATCAAAGGAAAATTATTCATATACTTTGCCTTGTTTGTAGAAACTACTTGATTGTCAAGATGCTTTCTCAGCAGGCGCCACGGCTCACTAGGTTAATCCTCTGCCTTGCGGCGCCGGCACACCGGGTTCTAGTCCCAGTCAGGGCGCCGGATTCTGTCCTGGTTGTCCCTCTTCCAGGCCAGCTCTCTGCTGTGGCCCGGGTGTGCTTGAGGATGGCCCAAGTACTTGGGCCCTGCACCCCCTGGGAGACCAGGAGAAGCACCTGGCTCCTGGCTTCGGATCAGCGCGATGCGCCGGCCGCAGCGCGCCGACCGCGGCGGCCATTGAAGGGAGAACCAACGGCAAAAGGAAGACCTTTCTCTCTGTCTCTCTCTCACTGTCTACTCTGCCTGTCAAAAAAAAAAAAAGATGCTTTCTCATCTGCCTTTGACACCTGTCATCTGATCTGATAACAGTCTTAGCAGAACAAGGAGTACTCCTTTGATATAATTTGTAATTCCATTAAGTTTTAAATGTACATAAATAATACAGATTGTACAAAGAGACTTCAAACATTCATGGAAAATGGAATTAAAACACACTTTCCATGAACTTTTTGAAACCCATTTATATTATAACATACAAGTTATATTTTAACAAAAAGGAAAAATAAATATTTCATTGATATTATTTAAATGAGCATTATTTATACACACAAGCTTATATCCAGGATCACACTTAAAAATGAAATACTACAACATATGATATCAGGAACAAAAGAGGGATGTCTGCTAACCCATTATTATTGAACATAATTCCTGAAATAACATTGTTCTTGGGGCCGGCGCCATGGCTCACTAGGCTAATCCTCCGCCTTGCAGCTCCGGCACACCGGGTTCTAGTCCCAGTCGGGGCGCCAGATTCTGTCCCGGTTGTCCCTCTTCCAGGCCAGCTCTCTGCTATGGCCTGGGAGTGCAGTGGAGGATGGCCCAAGTCCTTGGGCCCTGCACCCCCTGGGAGACCAGGAGAAGCACCTGGCTCCTGGCTTCGGATCAGCGCAATGCGCCGGCCGCAGCGCGCCAACCGCGGCGGCCATTGGAGGGTGAACCAACGGCAAAGGAAGACCTTTGTCTCTGTCTCTCTCTCTCACTGTCCACTCTGCCTGTCCAAAAAAAAAAAAAAAAAAAAAAAAAAGCATTGTTCTTGGGATGAGAAACAAAATAAGAAGTACAAACCTTAGGACTGGCATGTGGCACAGTGGGTTAAGGCGCTGCTTATGAAGCCATCACCCCTTATCTGATCAGAGTGCCAGTTTGAGTCCTGGCTGCTTCCCTTCCAATCCAGTTTCCTGCTAATGCCTCTGGGAAGACAGCAAATGTTGGCCCAAGTACTCGGGTCCCTGCTACCCAAGTAGGGGACCAATGTAGAATTCTTTTTTTTTTTTTTTTTTGACAGGCAGAGTGGACAGTGAGAGAGAGAGACAGAGAGAAAGGTCTTCCTTTTGCCATTGGTTCACCCTCCAATGGCCAACATGGCCGGCGCACCGCGCTGATCCAATGGCAGGAGCCAAGTACTTATGCTGGTCTCCCATGGGGTGCAGGGCCCAAGCACTTGGGCCATCCTTCACTGCACTCCCGGGCCACAGCAGAGAGCTGGCCTGGAAGAGGGGCAACCAGGACAGAATCCGGCGCCCTGACCGGGACTAGAACCCGTTGTGTCGGTGCCGCAAGGCGGAGGATTAGCCTAGTGAGCCGCGGCGCTGGCCACCAATGTAGAATTCTGAGTTCCTAGCTTTGCCCTGGCCAGTCCTTTGGGAAGTGAACTAACAGATGGAAAATTCCCTCTCTCTCTCTCTCTCTCTCTCTCTCTCTCTCTCCTGCTCTGCTTTTCAAGTAAAAGAAAATAATTTTTAAAGATTTATTTATTGGCCGGCGCCATGGCTCAATAGGCTAATCCTCCACCTGCAGCACCGGCACACCGGGTTCTAGTCCTGGTTGGGGCGCCGGATTCTGTCCCAGTTGTCCCTCTTCCAGGCCAGCTCTGTGCTGTGGCCCCGGGTGTGCAGTGGAGGATGGCCCGCCTGCACCCCCTGGGAGACCAGGAGAAGCACCTGGCTCCTGGCTTTGGATCAGCGGGATGTGCGGGCCGCAGCGCGCCAGCCACGGCAGCCATTGAGGGTGAACCAATGGCAAAGGAAGACCTTTGTCTCTCTCTCTCACTGTCCACTCTGCTTGTCAAAAAAAAAAAAAAAAAAAAGATTTATTTATTTATTTGAAAGGCAGAGTTACAGAGAGGCAGAGAGAGAGAGAGAGAGAGAATCTTCCATCCACTGGTTCACTCCCCAAATGGCTGCCACGGCCAGAGCTGCGCTCATCCAAACCAGGAGCCAGGAGCTTCTTCTAGGTCTCCCATGTGGTTGCCAGGGCCAGGGACTTGGGCCATCTTCCACTGCTCTCCAGGCATAGCAGCAGGGAGCTGGATCAGAAATGGAGCAGCTGGGACTTGAACCAGCACCCATAGGGGATGCCTGCACTGCGGGCAGTGGCTTTACCTGCTATGCCACAGTGCTAGCCCTGAAAATAATTTTTTTTATTTTAAAAAATTAAATAAATTTTTAGATCCATGCCTGGTTTTTTCATAATATACATTTTCTGGGTTTTGTGAAAAAATAAATTTCGTACCATAAAAACACTTTTTGCACCAAAATAAACTCATACTTTTAATTCCATATTTTTCTGTCAACTTTTGGAAGTCCCTCATACTCGTGGAAATGACATAGAAGCTGTTCCTGCAAACCCGTGGGGAACAGTGTGGGGCCCGATAGGTGACCCTTGCAGGGGGTGGAGGAGCACTGAGTTGGCAGCTGGGAGAAGACAGGTGGGTGCTGGATCAGTTCTGGAGGGCCAAGAGGCAGGAAGATGTGCCCAAGGTGACTTCCCACCCAGACAAGGCCTCGTGTTCTTTGCTTCCGCAGCTCCTGGCCGTGGAAGTGAACACCCCAGAGAAGTTCAGCTCCACAGCAGATGTTGTGATCCAGCTCCAGGACACCAACGACAATGACCCCAAGTTCACCTCCCACTACTACATTGCCAGGATCCCCGAGAATGCCCCAGGGAGCACCAACGTGGTGGCTGTCACAGTAGGTTGGGGACTGGTCCAGGGGCTGGAGGGTGCGGGCCCTTGTGAAGTGGGACAGATGTGGGCTCCAGTTTTGGCTGCAAAACCCGCATCAGCTACGTCTTTGCACAAGCTCCGTGCCCTCTCAGTCTCAGCTTCCTCATCTATGCAGTGGGGAAAACAACCCTCCCAGGTCTCCAGTGAGGACGGATGTGCAAACCCCAAGCACAGGCCACAGGACCTAGTCCCTTTTCCTCCCTCATTTATCAGGGCGCAATAAATACATTCTTGTTCTAAGTCTTTTGATTCCTCCAAAGCTTAAGACCTTGGAGGAAAACTAGGGCTCCAGGGCAGCCTCCAGATCAGCATCCCCCAAGTTGGGCAAACCCCAGATTCCCCTGGATTTGCCCTTGAAAGCAACACACAGACACAGGAGTGCGGAGTTCCCTGGGCAGGTGCCACTGGGAGCTTTCTCTCTTCCAGGCAGTGGATCCAGACACAGGACCCTGGGGTGAAGTCAAATACTCCATCTATGGGACTGAGGCAGACCTGTAAGTAGATCCAGAACTCTAGACACGGCCTTGGGTAAGGGATTTGGAAGGGGGTGTGCAGAGGGTCTGTGTAAAGGCAGGATCGGAGCCTGAGTAGAAGAGGCACACATCCCCGTCTCCAGGGTGTAGGAAGCAGTGGTGAGCCTGATGCATAGGTGTTGGGGATGCACTCATGTGGCTGGAGAGGCCATGGTCATGTCCTGGAGCTAAGACCCATGGCCTCAGGAGCCAGGAGAGCAGGGCTTGGCTGGGGAGGAGGCAGGCCATTTCCATGGAGCACGAAGGGCTGTGATTTGGGTTACTGAGCTCAATAGTGACTGATGGGTGAGTAGATGAGAGGATCTGCCTTCCTCATCAGATTGCAGGGATGAGTGGGAGAGAGCAGGTGGACGACTTGAGGAAGCTGCATGACGCCTCCCTGCTCCTTCCCAGAGGCAGCTCGCCACTGCAGACATATGTGTGTGTGTGCGCACATGTGAGCATATGTGTGCACGTGTGTGTGCATGCACATGTGCACACACGCATGCTTATCCACACATGTGTGCTCTACACACCGTGCCTCTGCTCTCTGTGCCTGGCAGGTTCCTGATCCACTCATCCACTGGGCTTATCTACACCCAGCCCTGGGCCAGCCTGGACGCCGAGGCCACTTCCAGGTACAACTTCTATGTGAAGGCCGAGGACATGGAGGGAAGGTACAGTCTGGCCGAGGTGTGTGTCACCGTGCTGGACGTCAATGACCACTACCCCCAGTTTGGAAAGAGCATCCAGGAGAAGACAATGGTGCTGGGGACCCCCGTGAGGATTGAGGTGGGTTTCACAGGCAGCTCGCCTCCCCTGAAAGTCGGGTTCCAGTGGCTGCGAGAGACACTGGGGCTTGGGAATTTCACTTAAAATCAAATATTGTACTCCCAGCTTGGACAAAGGGCTTCAAGGTCCTTTATATATCCCCATCACCACCCCAACCCAAAAGTAACTCTGAGGAGGAAGACATCCCCACTTTACAAATGCAAACTCTGAGGTTCACAGGGGCTAAGTGCTTGACTTGCTTAGTTCATGTAGCTGCGCCACCTGCTGTCAGAACAGTGCTTTTCCCACTGCACTTCACTCTCTTCCGAAAAAAACCTGAACCCAGACACCCAACAGACTTGAGTTTGAATCCCAACTTCTACCTCTGCATCCTTGGGCAAGTCACTTAGCATCCAAGTTTTCATTTTTGCAAGTATACTATGATTTTTCCAATACCCACTTCCTGACTTGTTCTGAGTCTGGGATCATAGGACTCAGAGAGAGGACCCAGCATAGACCCTGGCTTATACCAAGGCATACCTTTTCCTTTTCCAACTCATCCCACTCCTCACAGGATCTGGACCATTTCCCATCAACCCAGCAAGCCCCACGTGACATGTCAGTTCAGCTGCTTTCCACAGATATTTTCCCCAAAGCCCAGTGCTGTGTGTTCTCCCTGTGCACAGGCCATAGACCAGGACGCAGAAGAACCTAACAACCTGGTGGACTACTCCATCACCCATGCCGAGCCGGCCAATGTATTCGACATTGATGCACACACAGGGGAGATCCGGCTCAAGAACTCCATCAGCTCCTTGGATGTCCTGCACAACATCACTCCCAGTGGGGAGGACTGTACGTGGTCCCTGGAGGTGCAGGCCAAGGACCGCGGCTCACCATCCTTCAGCACCACGGCCTTGCTCAAGATTGACATCACAGACACGGAGGTGGGTGTAAAGCCCTAGTCCGGGAAAGGGGGTAGAGGGCCAGCTCAGGCCTGCAGCAAAGACAAGCAAAACCGTCATCTCCACACTTGCTCCAAAAAACGCTGCATGCTAGCAAAGGCTGCCCGTGCCAGCAGACGCAAGTTTTGGAATCATCGTGACTGCTTTGCTTTAATGCTTATTAAGGATGTGACATTGGGGTTTGTGATTTTGGTTGGGCTTCCAGACCTGATTGATCATCCCGCTGCTCCCACCATGCTCCCGCCCTCTGCTCTTAAAGTTTCCATTACGTTTCCTGTGTAACAGGAATGATGATGCCTCCCTGGCACAGGTGTTGAAAAGCCAGAAATGAAATCATTACGTGACTATGTAGCTGTGAGCTTGTTAGCGGAGATGAGTGGAATAGAATTCATGCAAGAAAGAATTGAGACGTGAGACAGAGGAGCGCTCAGCAAGGTAGCAAGGTTCAGTAGGGTAGGGCGTCCGTTAGAACAGATGGGCACCTCTCCAGATGGAATCTGAGAGTGCCTAGTTCACATTTAGACTGGGGTTTATAAGGCAGTAGGGTCCAGTTCCTCCTGCTGTTTCTCCTCTCCCCCACTTCTTCTAGACAAACTAGGTAAAATTCCTCCCCAGGTGTCAGTACTCAGTGCTACCAGACCAAGTAGCCCACCTTGTGCTGGGCAGAGGAGCCGCCCCTAGGGTGCCTGCCTTGGAGGAAGGCTGTGAGGGTTTTATTGCCACTGTCATCAGGCTGGGTAGCCCACTTGGTGCTGGGCAGAGAGGATTCTCCTGAGGAGCTTTCCTTGGGGGGAAGCCTGGGACCACCTGGAAGGTTATCAGGGTATGGATGGAACTTTGTACTGTAAGATACAGGGCTGCTTCCAAGGTGGCTCCATTCCTTTCTGCAGAGCTGTGTTTCCCTTGGGCTCCAAACAGACACACACACACACACACACACACACACACACACACAGAGGCTAATTTCTAACTTCCTACCCAACAAGCTCAGAGTCTGGCATAAAGTCAACCCTGAAAGGGCACCTGCTCTATTCGGGCAGATATTGCCTCCCCTCCCCCGCCCCCAATCAAAAGCACATAATATTCTACTATCTCAAGGCCAGAGTGCAGTAAAGCCGGAGTTTTGACTCCAATAGAGGTTGTTTGCATCACATTCTATTGGAGTGTATTGTTCTAGACAGTGAGTTGTGCCATGCTCTCGCTCTGTGTACTTCTTTCCACATTGCTTCCAGAAGGTTTAGAAACCATCAGGCTTAAGGAAGCTTGTGTCTGAGCTCTGTCTTCCAGAGCCCAGGCAGGAACAACTGAATACAGAGCGTGGTTCTCTCTCACAGACGCTGTCCCGAGATCCCATGGCTGCCTTCCTGATACAGACCAAGGACAACCCCATGAAGGCTGTGGGTGTGCTGGCCGGCATCATGGCCATCGTCGTGGCCATCACCATCCTCATCTCCACCGCCACCTTCTGGCGCAACAAGAAATCCAACAAGGTCTTGCCTGTGCGGCGTGTGATCCGCAAGCGGCCCAGCCCTGCGCCCCACGCCGTCCGTGTCGAGTGGCTGAAGTCCAGGAAGGCCAAAGCCGCAACCAAGTTCATGCTCAAGGAGGATCCTCCCAATGAGAGCGACGACAGCCACGGCCCAGTTAGCTCACTGCCCCCTCGAGCTCCAGCTCTGCCTCCGCCTCCCAGTGTGGCACCCGACACAGGTGCAGCCCACTGGACAGTGCCTACAGTCTCTGGATCCCTGGTCCCCCAGCAACCTCAACAATCACCGCCAGAACCCAGGGCCTCGGGGAGCCCCATCCGGTCAACTCTGGTCTCTGAGCTCAAGCAAAAGTTTGAGAAGAAGAGTAGGGACAACAAGGCTTACTTCTAGACTCTGTCTTGAAGTCTCCTCTCCACCCCAACTCTGTCCACTCTGCTACCCTCACTGTGTCCTCACATCCTGCTCCAGAAAGTTACCCCTGTTTTGTACAATGCTGTGACACCACACACCCCATATACAGGGCTCTAGACAGAGCCTTGGGCAGGCAATTTCTTGAGCAATGGGATCCACTTGACAAATACTTGCCCATTCCCTAAATCCTGGACACAGCTACAATGATCCCTATCCCTTAGAGACTGGGAATTGACCAGGAGCATCTCCTACTCACTCACCAACCCCAAACCACCCAGACCCTCGTGTCCCGCTGGGATCTGAATATCCTTAACCAAGGGGCAGGGGCAGGGCTGCCTAGAACAAGGCCAACTGCCACCCAGATCCTGAAACACAGCTAGGGGAAGGAGCAGGCAATGGGGGTCCAGCCCTGGCTAAGGCTGGAGGTGAGTGAGCCCTGCAGCCACAGGAGAGCAAATGCAGGCAAAGGGAGGGGAAGGAAGCAATGAAAATTTGTGCTGACTGCAGGACCGTGCCTGAAGCCCTGAGCACAGGGGGGGGCAGTGTACATGGGAAGAGATGGCAGGCTCCTGTTGTGCCCGTGTGGGGCTGGGGACTCAGAGGCATGAGATGGGCCTTGCAGATATCCCCAGTTGGGAAGACCTTGAACCCAGAAATTGTCCAAGCTGGAACCACAGTGGTAGCCCCAGAAGCATCCGGAAGAGCATCAGGGCCCCTCTGTGAGAGTGCAAAGCGGCAAGAAAGCAACGTGTTTCCTGCAGACCAGCCTCTGGGTGCAGCTCCTCCAAGGACACATCAGGAGGAGCCTCGCTGCTGCTCTGCAGAGTGGCCCCCCAGAAGCACCGGGCTGGGTGTGGGAGCTGCCACAGGTCCTCAGTAGTCAGAGCTGGATGCTGGCTTGGCTTGAACCACACAGCTCCCGTTCCGTTCTCCCCTCACCACCCCATGCCACTGTCAGAGAGAACTGGACCGCACAGCAGCACCCAGTCCAAGGCTCTGCTTCACTGAGTTCCTGAGAGAGGAGTGGTTTGCCTGAGGCTACACAACAGGTGGGTGGCAGGGATGCAGTCTGAGCGTTCGAGGCTCCTGTGCGTGTTCCTTCATCCTTGGTGTGTGCCAGTCTCCCCAGGATTGAAATCACCCAGCACCTCCCCTGAAGGACCCTGCTGTAAGGAGATCCAGCTGTGTCCACAGACAGACAAGTAGACTGGTTCTTTGCATTTTGCCTCCTCTCGCTGAAAACCTGTCTAGGATGCATCAGATTTTTATGAGAGCAGCTTCTATGCACGTGTGTTCTTCCTGGTTTCTGAGTCTGTGTTTGGAGGGGTTACTCAGGTGTGCCAGTGTGTAGACCCCCTGCCAGGTGTCTGCGTTTCCCAGCCCAGACAGTATTGACTGAGAGGTGTCAGCAGACACAGGTGCTTTGCAGCCAGAGTTTCAGGAGAGGCTGCGGTGCATCAGGCATGGCTGCCACAGGGAACACAGCATCCTTAGGACTTGCATGCAGTCAACGGAACGTCTTGTGTGAATGGCAAATAAAATCCGCTCAGCGAAGGGCAAGCTGCTTTCCTGCTCCCTGCTTGCGTTTCTGTGCTCTGACTTGTGGGGTCTTTTCAGTCTTCCTGAAACACAGCCAGGCTCAGCCTGCTGGCTCCCTTGGTGGGTGGATCTATCCCCTGCCTGCTAGACCTGACGCTAAGGAGGGCTGCAAATGGGGTCCACATTGCCACGTGTCCACCTCAGACCCAGCCCGTTTGCAGGCTTATCTGTCAGAGCGTGGCCAGTGGAAGGGGATTGCCTCCCAGTGCAACCGGCAAGGGCAGGAACCGGGAGGCTTGGTGTGTGCATGGCTGGGCAAGCAGTGTTGCCTCTGGGACAGTGGTTGTAAAGAACTCTGGGCTGGAGGCTCAGCCCAGCCCCTGGGCCCTGAGAGGGAGGAGGCGCTTCTGGACAAGCCCAGGAACTGGAACCAAGGCAGAGCCCATCTTGGAAGTCTAGTGGCCAGCATCAGCCACACTAGGAAAAGGAGGAGGGTCTTGCCAAGCCGAATGGACCCAGCAAATGTGGTCAGCTCTGGAGGGAGCCCGCCCTAGGGTGGTGCCAGCCAAGTCCCAGTGCACTAGCGAATCCTGCAGCTAAGGGACTGCTTCCTCCATTACACTGGGCCACGGCTGCACCTACAAGCTGGCATGGAGTTCATAGCCCAGGTAAGGGGCAGGGAGGCAGGAATAGCAACCTGGGCAGACCCCCTCTCTCCTGGCCCCTGAGAATAAAACATTAGCCCATGTGACTAGAGAAACCTGCAGTGGCTCCACCACCCATGGCTGAGGTCAGACTTTCTAATCACAAGAACTGACACACGGCTTTACAGCTTCACAGTCCTGGGTCTGAATTTGGGTTCTGCCACTTAAGTGTGACTTTAGATCCAGTCTCTCTGGGCCTCACTTTTATCATCAGTACAGGGTGCAAAGAATCGTGGCTGTGAGGATGACAAGAGCTAATATATGCAAAGCACCTAGCACCGGCTTTGTAGTTCCGGATAATGGCGCGAAGAGTTGCTATTCTTAGTTGTGCAAGAGGGTATTTGAGGATGGCTGGCTATGGCCCACATACCCGAGCACGGAAGGTTCCTTCCCGTAGCCTTGCCCCACCATACTTCCACCTATCCATAGTCCTGGGAGCCTGTGTTAGGAGAAGGGCAGAGTAGATGGGCAGGGGGGAGGGCAGTGGGGCAAATGCTACAGCACCTGGGTCTTGTGCTGCCTACAGCCTGAGCATGGGCATCCTCACCCGAGGAACAAGGAAGAGACAGGCAGTCCCTGGGGGGAACCTGTGGGACTCTGTCCTGAGCTGGCCCTCAGCCCTGCTGTCCAAGTGTGGCAGGAGCAGGGAGGAGCCACAGTCCCGATTCCCTGAGGACTTTGGGAATTCTGTCTCTCTGAGCACTGGAAGCTTGGAGAGAATTCTGGACCAGTGCACCTGACATAAAGATCGGTCTCTATTGGCAAGCCAGTGACACTTCTCGTACAGTCTTCTTTAAAAAGATTTTATTTATCTGAAAGGCAGAGGGAGTGACAGTGGGGGGCAGATCTTCCATCTACTGGTTCACTCCCCAAATGACCACAATGGCTAGAGCTGGGGCTGGACGAGGCCAAAGCCAGGAGCCCAGAACTCTACCCAGGTCTCTCACCTGGGTGGCAGGGGCCCAAGTACTTGGGCCATTTTCCCCTGCAGATGCAGAGCAGCCAGAACTCCAACTGGCTTTTCGATATGGGATGCTGGCATCACAAGCAGGGGCTTAACATCAGCTCCTCCCTGACCATGGAAGGCTGGACTGGGAGGATGGAGAAGACTCCACGCGAGGACACAGGCAGGGAGACTGGTGTGGGAACACATGGAGGACCCCTTAGAAGACACAGAAATAACTTGGGGGGTTGTTGCCAGGGGTTCTGAAGGGTCCAGTTTCTAGAATGAGGTGGTCGTGGCTTAAGCCAGTGGAAGTCAATCAGTAAAATGGAGTAGTGGCAGGCTGATGCTGGGGACATCTGTATGACATTCTGAAATTGTGCCAGTGCACCCCTTCGGCTGTCCGTTACTCAGATAGTCAGTCATTCCTGCGGTGACACGTGTTTGCAGTGTATCACCTATGCCAGGCCCTCTCTTGGGCGTTAGTTAGACAGGCTCTTAGAAGACAGAAGGGGAGCCGGCGCTGTGGCGTAGTGGATAAAACTGCTACCTGCAGTGCCAGAATCCCATATGGGCACTGGTTCGAGTCACATCTGTTCCACTTCTGACCCAGTTCTCTGCTGTGGCCTGGGAAAGCAGTAGAAGATGGCCCAAGTCCTTGGGTCCCTGCACCCACGTGTGAGACCCAGAAGAAGCTCCTGGCTCCTGGCTTCGGATCAGCACAGCTCTGGCCATTGCGGCCAATTGGGGAGTGAACCAACGATTGGAAGACCTCTATCTCTCTGCCTCTCTTTCTCTCTCTGTGTAACTCTGACTTTCAAATAAACAAATAAATCTTTAAAAGAGAAGAAAACTAGATATTAAAAAAAAGACGGAAGGAGAAAAATTCTTCCCTCAACTTGCTGATAGCAGAAGCCTGGGATTAGAGCTGGCTTTATTCAAAACGCAACTAGCCCTGCTTACAAATGTGTCGTGAGTGAAAAACACAGAAATCATGCCATTGCGGATAAATGTCCACACACACGCAACCCTGGTAAGACCTCATGCTCCTGATGGCCCCAGTCTATAGCAGTAATGATTACCGTGACATTTACCAAGGGTTTACTATATGCCCAACACAGAGAGCTTTATATGTAATTAACTCATCATCATCATTATCCCCGTTTTACAGGTGAGGAAACTGAGTAACTTGTCTCAAAGCCAGGTAGAAGCAAGCCCCTGGCACAGGATCTCAGAGCCTGTTTATTTATTTTTTTAAGCCCTGCTGTGATACAGTCCTCTGGATCTGAGTACAGATGCTTATCAATGCATGGTGAGGTTGTGTCCTGATGAACCCATCGCTGTTTCAAATGCATTGGACCCACCTACCCAGCATCCCATCCCAGCTTAGCCGCACAGCACACGGCAGAGCGACCGTGCTCACTGCCACGCCCAGCGCGGTGAGAGGATCGGGCTGCATGGCCGCTCGCCTGGGAAAAGATCCAAATTCAAAGGGTGACTTCTACTGAAGGTGCATCGCTTTCTGGCCACTGTCAAGGTGAAATGGTGGCGTGAGTCAAGGACCATCCAGGCAGCCCTTGGGTCCTAACAAGTATCGGATTCCCACAAATCCTCTCTAGACCATATTCCCTCCCCCTAAATTTCCATATGCCCAGGCGCAGCTGAACACTGCCCTCACCAGTGTGCCCCTGCCTCTCGTCGCTGTGCCCGTGGTCCTTCCCTTCCTCTGTGCCCTCTGTCCTGTGCCCACTGCCAAGCTGGCTGTCCTGGAGCAATGGTAACGACGTGCGTTCCCTCTCCCCGCTTCCAGACTGCTGTGACCACCCTAGCTCCGGGGAAAGGAGACACCCAGAGGCCAGTGGGTGTAACAACAC